TGAGCCGCGAAGTCGCCATCACGAACGGTTGGAACGGCTCCGCGCCCTCGTGGGGTACATGCGCCGCGGCCGGGGCCGTTTTTCCTTCGGCTACCGCGGCCTACGCGCCGCTTTGAGGCCCATCGAGGGCTAATCGGGTGTTCACCACCCAAAGGTTTGGGTGTGCGCTTTGGTGCATCAGGGCGTCGCGCAGCATGGACTCAGCTCAGTATCTCCGGCTGAGAATTGAGGTAGCGGCGAAGCAGGGGGACATCCCTCTGCTGGTGAACCTCATCCGTGAGAGCGGTGATCACTTCGATGTGAACGCGCAAGCGCCGCCTCGCTATGGTCGATACACACTGCTCCATTGTGCTTTGTTTCGTTGGGTTAGAAATAATCGCCGCACAGAGAACAGATCCGATTTGGTTCGTCTCCTCTGTGCGCATGGCGCGAATGTCAACGCGGTTGGTAGCTTTCAAACGGGTGTTGCGTGCACGCCCCTGCACTATTGCGTGCACGCCGAAGAAGCGGAGATCCTCCTCGACCACGGGGCCGATGTCAACTTCCGCGACAGCAGTGGAAATACGGCGCTCATGAAGAGTCTCCGATATCTCCCGCTTGTACGTCTTCTAGTTCGCCGTGGACCAGACACGGGAGGATGGAGACTTATGAGCTCAGAGTTCGTCAAGCCAGGCGTGGCGGAATTCCTCGAGGGCGTCGACGCCGCGGGCTCGTACGCGGCGTACGTGCGCGCGCCAAGAGTCGACCTCGTGCGCCTGCGGACGCTCTGCGCTCGCGGCCGCGCCGCGCCTCCCCGCGATCGCGTCCTCGAGCGCCTCTTCTGCGGGCCGGCGAAGGCGGAGACCGGCGCGCGGCGCGCGTCCAAGACCGCCTCGCGCCGCCGCCCGCTACCGAACGAGGTCTTCTGGCACATTCTCGGCTTCTGGCGGACGCTGCGGGAGCTCGGCGAGTAGTAAGCGCGGCACTGGGATGATAGGAGAGATTTAGAGGCGGCGGGCGTCGACTGCCGCGGCGGCGCCGGCCGCGGCGCCCTGGGCGGGCGGCGCGTTTACCGGTTGGCCTTGGCGACGCGCTCGATCTCGTCCTTCTTCTTGATGGCGTAGGAGTTGGAGGAGCCGCGGGCCGCGTTGATGACCTCGTCCGCGAGGCACTCGGCGATGGTCTTGACGTTGCGGAAGGCGGCCTCGCGGGCGCCCGTGCAGAGGAGGTAGAGGGCCATGTTCACGCGGCGGAAGGGCGACATGTCGACGGCCTGGCGGCGGACGACGCCCGCGGAGCCGACGCGCGTCGAGTCCTCGCGCGGGCCCGACTGGAGGATCGCCTGCACGAGGACCTGCACCGGGTTCTGGTCCGTGAGGAGGTGGACGATCTCGAGGGTCGACTGCACGATGCGCACGGCCTTGAGCTTCTTGCCGTTGTTGCGGCCCTTGCGCATGAGCGCGCAGACGAGGCGCTCCGTGATCGGGCAGAGCGCCTTGCGGAAGCGCTTCTTCTGGTAGCGGCCCGCCGTGTGCGGCAGGTACACGCTGTGCTTGCCCTTGACGGCGATGTAGTCCTCGAGGGAGATGTCGTTCACCTCCACATCGTCGTAGGTCCACTTGCCGAAGAGCTTGATCTCGCTCGCCGTCTCCGTCATCGTTACCTGCGGGGCGCGGGCGGCGTGAGGCGGCGCGTTCGTCCGGTCGTGCGCGCGCGCGGCGTCGTCAACGGCGGCGTGCGGCGGCGGCGGCGCGGCCCGCCCGGCTTCGTGCGGCCCCGCCGCGGCGGGGCCGCGCCGCCGCACGGAGAGCGAGCGCGCACGGCGTCGGCGACGCCACGGGCGGCCAAAACCGCGTGCGCTCGCATCTCCGCGCGGCACCGGGTGTTCCGAAAGCCTCCGCATCGCATCCCCGTCGCTATCTCAAGTCCCACGCGCGCATTAGTCGACGCCGCATCGCGCAGTCGCTCGTCGATCGCTGTGCTCGGACAGAAGACACGCTTGGCGATTTTTGATGCCCTCGAAGATCTCCTAGTTAGGATCAGCTTGGCCGGGGTTCGAGTCGCGAGCATGACGCGATGGACGCCTCCCAAGATGCAAGTCTGGAAAATCTTATGTCGAGGGGGGAGAGGGGCGATGTACGGCGCCACACGCGTGGCGGGGGTCGCACGCGGACGCGGACCCGGGGGAACTGTCAGGGCTGGGGGTCGTCCGCGGCGCAACTGTCAGGGCTGGGGGTCGTCCGCGGCGCAGCCGTGGGGCACGGCGTCGCCGGACCAGCCCGCGCCGGGCACGGGGCGGTCCGCGGCGTTGCGGAGCTCCGTCTCCGAGACCTTGCTGCGGCGGAGGAAGCCGGAGGACCCCGCGCCGCGGATGACGGCGCCCCGCGGCGCCATGGTCTCCTCGAGGGCCTCGCGGACCGTCGCGTCGTCGACGGGGAGGAGGTACGTCGCGTCGACGTTGAAGAGGCGGCCCGTGGACTCGAGGAGCGCCATGACCGTGCCCTCCTGGGTCCAGGTCTTGTTGTAGGGGAGCTTGGCCATGATGCGGTCCACGGACTGGTCCGGCGGGATTTGGGTCGGCAGGTGGTACTTCTCGCAGAGGTCGACGGTCCGTTTGATAACGGAAGGATCCGCGAGGCCCATCTTCACGGCCACCCTCGCGGCGATGACGCAGCCGATGGCGACGGCCTGGCCGTGGCTCAGGCAGCAGAGCGACCCCGGCCGGTGCGAGATGGCCTCGACGGGGTGGCCGAGCGTGTGGCCGTAGATGAGCACGACGGCCTCGCGCTTCTCCTTGGGGTCGATGTCGATGACCTGGCACTTGAGCTCGATGGTCCGGCGGATGACCTTCTCGAGGAAGGCCGGGTTCAGCAGCGGGCCGTCGTAGTCGTCGAGCATGTGCAGTAATTCCGCGTCCTGGCACAGCGCGTGCTTGACGATCTCGCCCATGCCGTCGGGCAGCAGCCAGTCGTCCAACGTCGCGAGCACGTCCGGGTCCACGATGATGCGGATGGGCGCGTAGTAGGACCCCACGAGGTTCTTGCCGTGCTTGGCGTTGACGGCCTGCTTGTGGGAGATGGCCGCGTCGCACTGCGCGAGGAGCGTCGTCGGGAAGTGGACGAGGCCGACGCCGCGGTGCAGCGTCGACGCGACGAAGCCGCAGACGTTCGCGACGGCGCCGCCGCCGAGGGAGATCATCACGGAGTGCTTGTCGATGCCCATGGAGATGACGCGCTCCGCGAGCTCCGCGTAGACCTCTAAAGTTTTCGCGTCCTCGCCGTCGGGGATGACGACGCGATGGACTCTATACCCCATGGCCTCCAAACCTTCCAAGAAGCCGTCGCCGTAGAGCCCGTTGACCGTCTCGTCCGTGAACACGAACAGCGGGCTCGACGCGGAAGCTTCCGGGATGATCTCGAAGGCCGCCGCGCGCGGGTCGCGGACGACGCCGCGCGCGACGCGGACGTCGGTGACGACGGCCCCGCCGGTCGTGAACGAGTACGTCGCGCAGTCGATGCCGCCGCCGGAGGTTTTGATGACGCTCTTCGCCGCGTCGACGCGCGCGGACCGCGACGCGGACCGGCGCTCCAGGCGGTCCCGGAGCTCCGCGCGCGCGCGGCGCTGCGGCGCCGAGAGCATCTCGTCGGCGGTCGCGTACGACAGTCTCACGGCCTCGAGGTCGCGCGTCGTCTTCGTCAGGTCGGCGACGCGCTCGCGCGCCGCCGCCAGCGCCTCGTTGGCGAGCTTCAACTCCCGGTAGAGCGCGGCCTCGCGCTCGAGGCGCGCGGCGTCGCCGGCCGTCGCCAAGGTCGCGGGCCGCTCGCCCTTGGCGCCCCTGGCGTGGCCGAGGCGGTGGGACGCGTAGTCGAGGCGGTAGGCGTCGAGCGCGAGGAGGTCCTCGGCGGAGTCGGCCTTGATGAAGGGCAGCGGCTCGCCGAGGAGCTCGCTGCTCTTGGACCGCTTCATGAGCTGCGCCGACATGGCGGGGGCGCGCGCAATGGGTTGCGGCCGCGCGGGGGCGCAAGAAGCGGCGCGAGAGGATGCGGGCGGTGCACGGGCCGACCCTTGCAAGATCGACCGCCGACGACGGCCGATGTCACGAAGAGTTCTCTCGAATTGTCTTGATGAAGAGCGGCGTCATTGCGGCTTACGAGCTCGATCGAACTCGCTTGCGGTAATATGGCATCGCCGCCTTCAACAACCCGTAATTGCCGTGTCGGCAAGCCGTCTGGGCTCTTGTCGCTGTGCTGCCGGGCTGCCGTTTGGGTGCCACATCCCTCGAGTCCAATGGGCGCCTGCCAGTCGCGGTCCGCGCCCCGGCCGGAGGCCGCGGTCGTCCCGGCGGAGGAGGACCTCGACGAGAAGGCCTCCTTCGCCGAGCCCCACGACGGCGCGACGTCGCAATTGCCGGCGCGCGCGCCGGTCGTCGAGTCGGACCTCGACTTCGGGTCGCTGGTGAAGATCTGGACCGTCGAGGCGACGGTGAACTACGCCCTGCCCTGGCAGGTCGAGGAGCAGCTCGAGTTCACGGGGAGCGGCTTCGCCATCGAGGGCCGGCGGATCGTCACGAACGCGCACGTCATCTCGCAGGCCGTGTCCGTGCGCGTGCGCCGCGAGGGCGACGCGCAAAAATTCGAGGCCAGGGTCCACGCCGTCTGCCCGGAGATGGACCTGGCCGTGCTCACGGTCGCGGACGAGGCCTTTTGGGACGACGGCGACGACGGAATGTGCGCGTGCGCGCGGCTCTCGGGCGCTTTACCCCGCATCGGCGAGGCGACGACGGTCATCGGCTACCCGACGGGCGGCGAGCAGGTCGCTGCTCCGCGTCCGACGATACGTTCTGTTCGCCCGGCGACTTTAAAGTCTCGCAGGTCTCCGTGACGAAAGGCGTCGTGAGCCGCATCGACATGCAGCGCTACACGGGCTACGCGAACGTCGAGCCGCTCCTCGTCGTGCAGATCGACGCGGCGATCAACGCGGGCAACTCCGGCGGCCCCGTCTTCGACGTCCGCGGCGACGTCATCGGCGTCGCGTTCTGCAAGGACGCGACGGACGACTCCGACAACATCGGCTATCTGATCCCCGCGCCCATCGTGGGCCTCTTCTTCGGCGCCGTGGCCATGCGGGAGGCGGCGGGCGGCGACGCGCCCTTCGTCGTGCCCGGCGTCGCGGGCCTGGGCGTGGCCACGCAGCCCGCGGAGAACGCGCACCTCCGGCGGCACTGCCGGATGGCGCCGGGCACGACGGGCGTCGTCGTGACGCGCGTCGCGCCGCTGTCGCCGCTCCACGGCAAGGCGAAGACGGGCGACGTCATCCTAGCCATCGACGGCGTCGAGGTGTCGAACGACGGCAGCGTGCCGCTGCCCGACGACGCGCCGCCGAACGCCGGGAAGCGGCGCCGGCGGCCGCGCCGCGTCGACTACGACCACCTCGTGACGTCGCGGCCCGTGGGGTCCCGCGTCATCGTCAAGCTCCACGACGCGACCACGGGCGAGGTGCGGGACGAGGACGTGGCGCTTGCGGCCGTGCCGCGGCTCGTGCCCTGCTTCCACGGCGTCGACGCGCGGCCGTCCTACTTCATCTTCGGCGGGCTGGTCTTCGCGCCGCTGTCCATGCCCCTCGTGGACGTCTTGGACACGACGTCCTACGACGACGAGACGACGCTGGCCATCCGGCACGCGTGCGCGAACGCGGAGAAACGGGACCCGGACCAGCAGATCGTCGTGCTCCAGCGCATCCTCGTCGCGCCGGAGTGCAACGACGGCTACGACGACGCGCACCACGCGCCGTCGATTTTGGAGAGCGTCGACGGGAAGACCGTGGACAACCTCCGGTCGCTCGCGGACTGCGTCGACGCGGCGGCGGGCGACTTCGTGCGCTTCGTCTTCAGGAGCGGCCACATCATCGCGCTGGACCGGCGCCTGTGCCTGAAGCACGACCCGGACACGCTCGCCATGAACGCCATCCCGAGCCGGTGCTCCGCGGACCTCGAGGACCCGGAGCGGCCGAGCGCGGCGTGGTGCGGGTCCCTCTTCCTCCGCGCGATGCGCTCCTAAGGTTACTGTCGCACGGTGAGGACGTAGAAGACGGCGCCGGCGACGAGCATGCGCCAGCCGACCACCATGGTCGCGACGCCGAGGGCGAGCGCGTAGACCGCGGGCTGCCGCGTCGCGGGGCATTTGAGCGCGTCGATCGCGGGCACGTCGACGTACTTGTCGTCGATGCCCAGCGCCTCGCCGAGCGCGAGCAGCGGGTTGCCCGCGCCGCCGCCGCCGCCGCCGTTGCCGCCGGTCCCGCCGCGCGCGGCGCCGCGGGCCGGCGCCGGCGTCCCGTGCACCGTCGCGACGCGGCTCCGGGGCTGCCCGGGCTGGGGAGCGGCCTTGGGCCGGTCCTGGCAGATGTTGCCGTTCGTGTCGATGTAGACCATGGCTACCGACGACGCGGCTGCCCCGCGACACTGCTACGATGGGTGTGGCTGCCCCGCGAGCACCTTCAGCCCGCGCGGTGACACCCGAACACCAACCTTCAGCGTATCCATAATGCAATCATTGCCCGCTCGGCGCCTGGCGGCCAGTCAATTCCTGACGGGGCCCACAACAGCCCGAGGCTCGCGCTTTAGAGCTCTCGCGGCCAAAAACTTGGCCCGCTGCCTTGGCTTCGCGGCCCGCGAGCGCGACACCTCGGGCCCTCGAGGAATCCCCTCGGGTCGGCGTCGCGCCTCGCTCTCCGCGCGCGGGGACGGGGTGCGCGCGCGGCCCCGGGGGCCGTCGCGACTCGCTCGGACTCGGGAGGAACATGTCGGCGATTCCGGCCGTCGTCGCCGCGGAGCGCGTGCCCGGCGGCGAGGCGAACCGCATCGTCGGCGTCGTCGACGCGCTCAAGTACTTCGACGCCAACGAGGGCGGCTTCGGCTTCCTGCGGCGCACGGGCCACCCCGTCGCGAACAGCCGCGAGCACCACGTCCATTTCCGTAGCAAGGACGCGCCCGAGCCGTTCTCCGACCTCAAGGTCGGCATGGAGGCGCGCGCCCCGCGTCCTTTTTGACGAGCAACGCGCCCCCGCGGCGACCGCGCGCGCCAACGCCCCCGACCCCCCCCGCGTCTCTAGGTCGCGTTCACGCTCGTCGACCGCGACGGCCGCCCGAACGCGCACGACGTCGTCGTCACGGGCCCCGGCGACAGCGCCAAGGTCGACGGTTCCAAGCGCAAGGGCTCCTGGACCAAGGAGAAGAAGTCGCCGCGGAGCTCCTGGGGCGAGGCCAAGGAGAAGAAGCAGATCCCCGCGCTGAGCTTGGGCGGCTCGCGCCCCGGCGCGTCGTCCGCGGGCGCCGCGCGGTCGAGCCGCGCCGAGAGCGAGGGCGTCCCCGCCGTCACCGACGTGTCGTCGTCGGAGGCGACGTCCTCGGAGACGTCCGAGTACCGGAGCCAGCGGCACCGCCTCGCGACGTTCGGCGTCGGCCCCGCCGTCGCCGAGGCGCCCCAGGACGGCGCGGGCGGCGCCGCGCGCGAGGGCGACGACGGCTTCGCCTCCCTCGACGAGCAGCCGGGCTTCTTCAACCCGCTGGCGGCCAAGGAGGCGCGCCAGTGGGCCGCGGGCGCGCGCGTCTACGCGTCGATGCCGGGCTGCGCGATCGCGGACCGGCCCCCGGGCCTGCCCCGCGACTCCGTGGCTTTGCGCAAGTCCACGGACACGTGGCAGGGCTCCTTCATCATGCAGTGCGACCCCGACGCCTACGCCGCGAACCCGCTCGGCGTCGAGGCGGAGCTGCGCGCGCGCCTCGGCGAGGTCTTCGTGCGCGTCGAGTGCTGGGGCCTGGCGGCCATGGACGCGGCGCTGACGCCCGACGCCGGTCGGCTCGCGCTCGACGACGACCCGGGCGCGCCGCCGCCGCCGGGCCTCGTCATGCTCGGCTCGAAGAAGGAGATGGAGCGGCTCTGCGCCGCGGGCGCGTCCCTCGCCGGCGGCGTCGCGCGGGCCTGCTGCGCGCCCTGGTCCGTGCTCGCGCGGTCCACGGACGAGACCGACGACGAGTTCGGCCGGGAGCTCGCGCGGCTCGAGCTCGGCGCGTTCCTCGAGGCGCAGGGCCTGCCGCTGCACCGCGCGGCGCCGCTGCTGGAGGCGCCGGACCTCGCCGTGGCCAAGGGCCTGTTGGCGCAGCTCGCGACGGACGCCCAGACGACGCTGGGCGACCTGCGCGTGCTCCTCGCGTGCTCGCAGCGCGACGGCCGCCTGGCCGTCGGCCTGCCGCGCGCGCGCGCGGCGAAGCGCCGCGAGCCCGCGGCCCACGCGGCCGTGCGCGGCGCCCACGAGGTGCTGGCGCTGCGCTTCGGCGTGCTCGACGACGACGTCGGCCTCGTGACCGTGCAGCCGCACGCGCGGTGCGCCGTCGTCGACGCGGCGTCGCGGCCCGACGTCGTCTTCCTCCGCGTGCTCGCCGTCGACGACGGCTCGAGCCCGAAGCGCAAGCTCCGCTCGTCGTCGTCCGAGTTCGTCCCCAAGCACTTCGTCGCGCCGTCGCCGCCGAATTCGCCCGCGCGGGGGCCCGCCGCCGCGACGCCCGCGCACATGCGGCCGCCCGCGAGCCCCAAGCTGCCGGACCGGCGCGCCGCCAACGGCAAGGCCGCCACGGGCAACACGGCGCCGGGCCAGTTCGTGCCCTACACGCACCCGCAGCGCCGCAACGGCGCGGCCGCGCGCGCCGACGACGACGCGCCCGCGCCGAACTCGGCCGACAAGGGCGGCTACAAGAAGGGCAACAAGAACGGCTACAAGAAGGACTACTCCAAGGACAAGCCGAAGCGCGTCTTCAAGAACAAAAAATCCATCCCCTGCTGCTACTTCCTCCGCAACCTCTGCGAGAACGGCGACTCCTGCAAGTTCAGCCACGACGCGTCCCTCACGGGCCTCGACACGGGCTGCTCCTGGGGCAAGGACTGCCGCTACGGCCACTACTACGACCCCTACGCCAAGGACGCCTGCGAGCCCTGCGACGCCGCCGTCACCGCGGAGTAGGCGAAGCCGGCCGCGGGCGCGCGACGCCGGAGCGCGCGCGCGCCGCACCCACCAGGGCGCGCGCGCCCCCAACACACACACCCCCTCGACCAACCCACCACGCGTGCTTCGGGTAACCGGGCACACCTCGAATTGATGATATGGGAGGCGGCTCGTTGACGGCACCTTGAATGGTGATGCATTCCAAACTTTCGAGGTCGGCTCGGGCAGCCGCGACGCCAGCGACTGGCACCCCGCCTTGCCGGCGCCATGCGGTGGCCGGCGGTGCTCCTCGCGACGCGCGCCGCGGCGCAGTTCGGCGTCTTCTCCGGGGACGGCGCCACGGACTGCTTCTATGTGTACAACGGCGTCAACTACGTGAGCGGCCACCAGCTCGAGGACGCCATCCTCGGCGACGACCCGAGCGCCTTCTTCCCGCGCCTGAGCCGGGCTACAAACTACGACAGCTCCATGCGGCCCAACGTCTGGTACACGGGGACCATCGACGCGCCGCCGGAGCTCGTGGTCTACGACTTCTCGCTCAAGTCCTTCGAGCTCGACGAGAAGAAGAATTTGATGAAGTTCGTCGGCGCCGAGTCCTACTCCTGGACGGACCCGCGGCTCAACTTCACGTTCACGGACGGCTGCTATTTGGACGGGGCCATCCCGGGCAACTGGTTCCTCACGCCGGGCTTCCTGAAGAAGATCTGGCAGCCCGAGCTCTACACGGTCAACTCCGTGGAGCCGACGCGGCCCTTCTCGCCGCGCGACGACGTCGCCATCCTCCCCGGCGGCCGCGTGTTTCTTACGTACACAACCACCAAACTCGTGCAGTGCTCCATGAAGTTCCACGAGCTGCCCGACGACACGCAGGACTGCGAGAACGCCGTCGGGTCCTACCCCTACGCGTCGACGTCCGTGCTCATGTACTCCGGGCCCATGGCCTACGAGATCGCCGAGGGTGAGGACGGCGGTTCGCGCGAGGTCTTCTCGAACCAGTGGCGCATCCACTCGAGTACGGTCTTCATCGAGCAGGTCGACTACGGCGGGCTGCCCTACTCCGAGGCGCACCAGCGCGTGCGCTTCAAGCGGCGCCACAAGTACTACATCACGGAGGCCCTCTACCCGGCCCTCTTCTTCCTCATCATCTCCTACTGCGGCTTCTGGATCGACCGCGCCGTCGCGCCCGCGCGCGTCGCCATCGCCGTCATCCCCGTCCTGATCATGCGGACCTTGCTGAACGGCACCTTCGCGAACTTCCAGATCATCTCCTACTCGACGCTGCTCACGTCCATCCTCCACCTCGGCGAGTCGCTCTGCGTCATCGCGGTCTTCGAGTACGCGGTCGTCCAGGTGTTCCTCGCGCGCGAGAAGAAGGAGCTCGCGCGCCACACGCTGCTGGGCAAGCTCAAGGAGCCCATCCTCCACTACGTCCAGATGCGGGGCGCGCGCGCGGACGACGTCGCGGGCGCGGGCGACGTCGAGCTCGAGGACCGCGCGCGCGCGCCGTCGGACCCGCCGAAGCCGCCGCCCCTCGCCGTCGTCGCCGTCGTCGAGAAGCTCCGGGACGCCTTCGAGGGCGTCTGCGACGGCGAGGGGCGCGCCGACGCGCGGCGCGTGCACCGCCTGCTCCGGGACATGGGCCGGTCCGCGTCCGTCGACGACGTCCGCCTCATGATCGACCTGTTGGACCGCGGCGCGACGTCCCTCGACTTCTCGCGGACCGTGGAGTTCGTCGTGACCTACGAGAGCCTGCTGGCGGCGAGCGTCGCGGCGGAGGACCGCCACGTCTGCGACATGCCCGTGTCCGAGCAGATCGACGTCGCGTTCCGCGTCGGCTTCCCGCTGCTCACGGCGGCGATCACGGGCCTCAAGGTCACGGCCCACAAGGAGTACCATAACGCCTACACGGAGGCCATCGAGGACTCCATCTTCAACGACCCGCTCTTCTTCCAGTGGGTCCCCTTCATGGGCGTCGCCGTCGTCGCGCTCGCCGTCTACGCCGAGCACTACTGGCGCTTCCACCGCGCCTTCCCCGACGACGACAAGTGACGCGCGCGGGGCGGGGCCGCACCCGCCCGAGCGCCCGGCCTAATCTGGCTTTCGTTGAATTGTTGAAGTGGTTGTTGAAAGGGAAAGGAGGCCTGAAAGGCAGACCAGCTCGTGTCCGCGATTGCCACGGCATGCGGCCTGAGTGAGTTTAAGAGTGAGTAGCAGCTCGACTGAATGTTGAAGTGGTTGTTGTAGGGAAAGTCCAAACTCGGCTCGGCCACCTCCTCATGGCCTGCCTGAGCAAGACTGAAGGACCTTGACCCGGCAGTGCTCAAGAAGAAGCCACTGCGTGCGCGACGCGAGCGGGCCTTTGGCGCCTCCCGGCGGCGTCGTCGCCATGGCCGCGCTGCTGCACGCGCGCGGCTTCCACGCGTCGCGCCAGCTCCTGGACCACTACCGCACGCTGGGCCTCCAGTACAACGCGGGCCCGAAGGAGATCAAGGACGCGCGCGCGTCCGGCGCCCGTGGCGGTTTGCGCGGCGCCCACGCGCGGACGCGCAGGTTCCTGAAGCTCGCGAAGCGGCACCACCCCGACGCGAACCCGGACGACGCGACCGCCGTCGCGAAGTTCCAATCGATCGCCGAGGCGCACGGCGAGCTCAGCGACGGCGGGAAGAAGCTCCTGCGCGGTCCGCCGCGTCGCACGTCGGCGCGCGCGGTCCCACCGTCGCCGCGTCCAGGTACGACCAGTCCATCGGGAACGACTTCCGGCGGCCGAGCGAGCCTCGGGCCGAGTGGCGGCCGCGGCGGAGCAACATCACGGCGCCGCGGCCGACGCACCCCGGCGGGCGGCCCGTGGACACGGAGGCCTGGAACGCCTGGCACTACGGCGACGAGAACGGCGAGTACTCGCGCGAGTCGACGATCGACACGAGCCGGCGGAGCCGCGACAAGAACGCGACGCGGACGAACAAGTGGTTCAAGCGGCGCAACGTGCGGTCCCACGAGGAGCGCCAGGAGGCCGCGGCGCTCAACGCCATCCGGGACGAGAAGGACAACGTCGTGCGGCGCATGCGGGAGCGGCGCGAGGCGCGGCGGAGCGGGACCAAGGCCGCCGCGGAGGGCTGCGCGATCTCCTAGTGTGCCCTAATTTTGTTACCCGTCCTCGTCCATGCCGCTCTCCTTGGGGATCTTCACCTCCGCGTTCTCCGAGTACTGCGTGAGGTGGTCGCAGAAGGCGAGCACGACGGCGCTCGCGTCCTCGTCGTTGACCGTGAAGGGCACGTAGGACAGCATGGAGTGGTCGTCGAGCACGGAGCAGATGGCGGCGTGGAGCCGCTCGTAGGGCAGGTTCGGCGTCCGGCCCGGCTCCGCGTTGTCGAGCCGGTTCCGCTCGCGGACGAAGAGCGCGGCCGAGCCCTCGTCGAGGAACTTCTCGAGCTGCTCCTCGCTCTTGATCATGTCGCTCTTGGAGAGCACGGTGACGTGGGGCACGGGCAGCTGGAGCATGGCGCTCAGGCCCGCGAGCGCGCCGGCGACGAACTTCGACGGCTCGTGGATGCTCACGGCGTCGACGAGGAAGGTAGAACAGCAGGAGATGTTCAGGTTCTGCTGCAGGGCCTGGACGAGCCGGGGCATGACCTGGACGTGCGTGTAGAGCTCGAGCTGGCCCGGGCAGTCGAAGAGCAGCGTGTCGTCCTCCCCGAAGACGGCGAGCTTCGATTCGAGCCAGTCGAAGTTCGCGAGCATGTACTCCATGCAGTAGACGAGCCCGCCGTTGGGGCCGTAGCCCATCTCCTTCATGGCGTCCTCGATGGTGATGAGCTCGCGGATGTCGACGTCCGCCTCGTAGGGCGTCAGCTCCGCCGCCGGGTCCAGGTTCACGACGTAGATGCCCCGCTTGTGGATCTGCCCGTGCACCTGCAGGGCGTGGCACATCGTCGTCTTCCCCACGCCCGCCGGCCCGATGGTGATGATCCCGTAGGGCATGGCAGCGCGCGCAGGCAGCTCGGCCGCGGGCGAGAGAGCTCCAGATGCGCTCACTGAGTCTGCACGGTCGAGCGGCCGTAACGTTGAACCTACGGAGATGGTGACGATGGACGGATGGCATCCTTGCGCGGCGGCAATGATGGCAGCCCGTAGCCGCGGCTGCGGGTAGCGTCCAGCACCCCCATCAGCCGCGACTGCGGGTAGCGTCCAGCGCCCCCATCAGCCGCGACGGCACGAACGCCATCCGGCGCCATGCTCCACAGCGACATCATCTTCATGTTCCTCTCGACGATCGTCAAGAAGGAGTTCTTCTTCGACACGCGCGCCGTCGTCGCCCACCGGAGCTGGGGCCGCAGAGAGACGCTGATCTACGTCGTCGAGGGCGACGACGCGGCCGCGGCGCGCTGGGCAGGCTGCCCGGCGCACGACGTCGGCGTCGCCGGCGCGCCGCTGCGCAAGTGCCTCGGCGAGCCGCCGGTGCTCCTCGCGCCGGGCTGCACGAGCAAGTACTACGGCGCGCCGGGCCCCTGCTGCAAGTACGACTACGGCGTCGCCTGGTTCGCGCGGTCGACGCTCGCGGCGAGCGCCCGCTTCTTCGTCTTCGCGGACGACGACGTCTGGTTCTCGTCGTCGGGCTTCCGCGACCTGCTCTCGCGGTACCCGGACCCGTTTACGACGGCCTTCGCGCTCCACCCCGACGGCTACCGCGCCATCTGGGGCCACCCGGAGTGCCGCCACGACCCCAAGACCGGCGACTGGGGCATCCGGAGCGGCTGGCACCAGCCCGCGGTCCTGTCCATCGCCGCCGTCCACGCGCTGGCGAACCAGTCCGCCGCGGGCGTCATGACGGCCATCTGCGCGGCCTACGGCATCACGCACGACGTCGGCTTCGGCGTGCTCCTGTGGCAGAACGAGGTCCTGGTTGGGGGCTTCGGTCGCTGCGCGGCGCGCCAGTCGACGGAGCCCGCGCTCAAGGACGCGCAGGTCGTCGTGCACGGGGCCCGCGCGCCGACGAAGGCGAACGAACGGTATCTCAACCACAGCGCGCTGACGGCCTTCTTCGAGGACCGCGGCTGGAACGGGAGCGCGTGCTACGCGAAGCATGCCAAGGTCATCGGCCAGCTCGACCGCCTGAACGGCGTGCGCGAGACGCGGTGGTTCGCGCGGGGCGGCGAGGGCATCTTCTCGCCCGAGGACTGCGCCGTCGAGCAGAACGCGGTCTTCCGGGCGCGCAACGAGAGCGAGCGGACCTGCTGGTGCGGGGACCGCAACATCGGCGGCGCGTGGCCCAAGACGAAGGAGTGCCGCGGTTCGTGCCCGCCGGGCCGACGGCGGCTCTCCGAGGCGTGCGCGACGCGGGGCTGGTGCCGACTCGCAACGACTTAGATCCCCGGGGGCACACAACAACACACAGGGGGGGGGGGGGGATCTCGGGTCGCTAGTAGTCGCTGTCGTCGAAGAGCGCGTCGTTCGCGGCGTCGTCGTCGTCGTCGTCGTCGTCGCCCTCGGCGATGCCCTCCTTGTGCTCGCCGGTCTTGAGCATGAGCTCCGCCTCGGTCATGTCCTCGCCGTCCTCGCCGGCCTTGGCCGCGCCGTCGCGGATGGCCTGCGCCGTCGCCTCGTCGACCTTCGTCGGGTCGTCGACCTCGACGAGGTTGCCGAACTCGTCGATCTCGCGGCCGTCGGCGTCGTACTGCTTCTCCTTGGGCGTGTAGAAGGCGATGCGCGCCTCGACCTGTTTGACGATGGCCTCCTCGGACGCGTAGTCCGCGTGGTGGCAGTCGACGCGGAGGACGTGGTCCGCGGCCTGGTCCGCGAGCATGTGCCTCCGGTCCGTCGGCCGCACCTTCTTCAACACGACGAGGTAGGCGCGGTCGTTGGCCTCGTGCTCGTAGTTGCTTCGGGCCTCGTCCCGCAGGCGCTCGTGCTGCGCCTTGCGCCACGTGAGCAGGTCCATGATCTTCAAACGGTTCTGCTCCTTGAAGTCCGTGAGCGCCGCGCTGTCCTGCGTCGCCTCGTCGTCCATGGCCTTTTGCAATTCTTTCTTGGCGTCCTTGTCCTTGACGCCCGCCGCGCCCTGGCGGACGACGCGGGACCGCGCGCGGAGCTGCATGATCGACTCCTTCTCGCTCATCTCCGTTTCTAAACGCGACACCTCGCGCGTCTTCGCCTCGTCCTCCGCGTAGAGCTCGAGCATGACCTCGGCCTCCGCTTCCACGTAGGGCGCGCGGTTCAAACCCTTCCAGGCCTTGCCCGCGGACTTGAAGCGGAGCGGCGTCCGGGGGTCCTTCTGGGACCGCACGGCCTTGACGGCGACCTTTTTGACGACCTCCTCGTCGTCCGGGTCGCCGTCCTCCGCGAACTGGTCCCAGAACTCCATGGCCAGCTCGTCGCCGACGGACTCCATGACCTCGGCGAGCTTCTCGACGTTGCCCGACGCCCAGGCCTCGGCGAAGGGGATCTGGTCCGCGGGCGCTTCGAACAAACCGTCGATGGACACGCCCGCCAAGAGCCGCGCGGCCGCGCGCGGCGCCTCCTCGGCCGAGTTGTTCTCCTCGAAGTCCATCTGCAGATCGTACAGGTCGTCGAGCCGCGCCTCGAGCACGCGCCCCGGGTTGAGCTTGCGCCAGACGACGGCCGCGGCGAGCGCGTCGGGCCCCGGGAGCTCGCGCGTCTCGTCCTCCGGGTCCTTGTCCTTGTTCTCGCGGTGCTGCTTGACGACGTCCGACGCCGTCCGCGCGGCGCCGCGGTCCGTCGTCTCGAAGTCGTACTCGAACTGGGCCGCGACGCGCGCCTCGGCCTCGACGACGCGGCCCCGGTTGTCCTCGTGCCGCTCCCAGATCGCGGCCTCGCGGATCGCCGTCTTCTTCATGATGATGGACGACCGCGCGAGGATCGCCATGTACTCGGGCGTCACGTAGAACGCCTCGTCCTCCATGTCGAGCATGTCGAGCGCCTCGCCCTCGTCGCCGAGCGGCGCGGGGAACGCGGAGCTCCACGACAGCACGGCCGACTCGCGCGAGTCGTGGCGCGACACCTTGGCCCACTCGTCGCGGACGAGCTCCTCGACGTAGCGCGGGTCCACGCGCGCGCCGTCGAGGCAGATGAACTCCTTGCAGCCCTGGTCGTGGTGCATGGGCGACGCCTCGATCGCGCGCGTGATCTGGGTGATCGCGCGGTAGAGGGCCTCCTCGCAGAGCTCGGGCCCGTAGTCGGCCCACTCCTCCGCCGTGTAGTCGAGGAACGCGTTCGGGCCCGAGCCCTCGTTGTGGACGAGCACCGTGAGCCCCTCCGGCGGCGCGCCAAAGTACATGAAGCCGCCCGAGTGGTAGTAGGGCAGCGTCTTCAACAGGTTCATGCGCGCCCAGTGCGTCGCGTGCCAGATGAAGTCCTTGATCTTGAAGAACTCGCCCGGCGGCGGCAGGCCCGTCGACGCCGCGTAGGCCGCGGCCTGGGCCTCGGCCCGGAGCTTCGCGAGCCGCTGCTGCTCCGCGACGGACTCGGCCTCGGCCGCGCGCGCGTCGCGCTGCGACTGCGTGCCGCCGACGCGGCCGCCCATGAGCACTAAAATCGCCGAGTTGGCCTTGAGCCAGGCCTCCGTGCCCTTGGGCGGGTCCTCGACGTTGCGCGTGACCTTTTGGCAGAGCTCGTCGACCATGATCTCGACCATGTGCGACTCCTGCAGGCCCTCGTGGCCGTCGAGCGCCAGGTAGTAGTCCTCCGGCGGCTCCTCCTCGTCGCTGTGGTACTCCTCGATCATCTCCTCGCACTCGAGCACGAGGGACCGCAGCCGCTCCACGTCGCGCGCCGCGCGGCGGCCCCGGCGCTCCGTCTCCTCGAGGTGGTCCTTCTTCCTCCCGTACTCGACGACGGCCTCGGCCTCCTCGTCCTTGGCGGACTGCTTCCGCGCCTCGGCCTTGACGATGGCGCCCTCGATGCCCGTGAGCTCGTCCTTGGTCTGCGCGATGTCCGCGCACTTCTGGATGTAGAGGTACGCGCACCTCACCCAGTCGACGATCATCGGCAAAGCCGAGCCGTAGGACTTGATGTGGTGGTGCGACGCCTTGAAGCGCGGGTCCACGAGGATGCCCGCGATGCGGCTCAGCAGCAAGTTGTTCTTCGCGTAGTCCCAGACGTCGTAGTGGAGCAGCTTGTACTTCAACTTGATGTCGTAGACGACCGTGAGCGCGACCTGGTCGCCCTCGTCCGCGTTGATCTGCGACGACGATAATAATAGTTGCGCCGCCTTCCAGGTCTCCTGCTCCGACGTGAGGATGCAGGCCGCCCGCAGCACCTTCTCCAGGAGCGGCGGCGGCTCGGGGAAGTAGCGGATGACGAAGAAGTCGCGGAGCTCCAACGTTTGGATCTTGTCGGACGCGTGGAGGAACGCGTCGCGCGTCCGGTGGGGGTCGTCGTCCCAGAACTTCTCGATGTTGGAGCTGAGGTTGCGCTGCTTCTTGAGGAGCGCCTCCAGCTGCATGTCCGCCTGCTCGACGACCTGCTTCGATCTTTTGAGCAGTTCCTCGTGCTCGGCCATCATGTCGCGCGCGGCACGCATGTCCGCGGCCATGAGCTCGAGCACGGGCTCGGCCTTGAGGAGGTCCTCCTTGGCCTCCTCGTAGGTGTCGCGCGCGACGAGGGACCCGCCCTCCATGCGGATGCGCTCGATGATGGGCAGCACGCGCGGGTGGTCGTTCTGGACGCCGTGCGGCAGCTTCGGCAGGCGCCGCGCGATCATGAGCGCGTAGACGCCGTCGTACTCCTCCTCGCGCTCCTCGAAGAGCTTGCAGAACTGGAGCGTCGCGAGCGGGTTCACGGGCGACCCGAGCCACTCCCAGAACTCGCCGCGCTCCCAGAGGCCGATCTGGATCTCGTCGAAGAGCGTCCCCCGGATGGACCGCTCGTACTCGAGCTCGGCCTTCGTCTTTTGGATCTTCGGGATCTTGACGCCCATGTCGTCGTACTCGTCCTCCTCCTCCTCGTAGGACTGCTGGTACATGCCGTCGTCCTCGACCTTGACGGGCCGCCGAACCACGAACTCGCCGTGGCGCTGGTTCTCGATGTAGTCGCCGATGAACTTGACGCCGAAGACGTCCGTGAAGACGCCGAGACCGTGGCGCTGGTTCCGCTTGAAGTGGCCCTCGAAGCGGCTGCCGTCGTGGTACGCGAAGACGCCGCTGCCCTCGAGCTGGCCGTCCTTGAAGTCGCCGATGTAGACGTCGTGCTTCGAGGAGATGTAGCAGCCCTTGCCCGTGCGGATGCCCTCGAAGGTCTCGCCCGTGTAGGACGACCCGTCGGCCCACTTCCAGGTGCCGTAGCCGTGGATGCGGCCGCGGTCCCACTCGCCGTCGTACGTGGACCCGTCCGGCGCGCCGAGGCGCCCGTAGCCCTGGCGCTGGTCCATGAACCACTCGCCGCCGTAGTGGGACCCGTCGGCGTAGTCGTACTCGCCGACGCCGTGGCGCTTGCCGTCGACGATCTGGCCCTCGTAGACCTCGGGAGGCACCTCGAGGCCCGCGTCGCGCTCCGCGCGCGACAGCTTCACGGGGTAGGTGATGCGGAAGTCGCCGTAGATGCGGAGCATGTCGAAGTGGTTGTCGACCGTGACGCCCTCGTAGATGAGGCCGCTGGGCCGCCGCCACTCGCCCCAGTGGTCCGCGTCGCGGCCCTCGTGGCGCGACACGCCCATGCTGTCGAGCCACCGCTCGCCCACGAGGGGCCCGCAGTACGTGTCGCCGTTGTAGTACTTCAGGATGACGTCGCCGACGGCCTCGCCGCGGCGCATGAAGCCCTGCATGGACACGTACTGCGCGTAGTACTTGCGCCGCTGGTGGCTCCGCGGGTGGTAGTCCTCCGTGACCTTGGTCAGCAGCGGCGGCGGGTCGCCGATGACCACGGCGCACTTGCGCGTCGGCACGCGCCGCACGACGGAGCCGCCGCGCAGATTCGTAATCTCGCAATGATAAATACCCTCGCAGTCGTAGTTCTGCTTCACGGGGTCGTCGGGCTTGATCTCGAGCCGGTCGAACGCGAGGTCCTCCATGAGGAAGACGAGCTCGGCGCGCCGGTCCTCGCACTCCTTGAGCTCGCGCCGCAGCTCCACGAGCCGGTCCGCGGGCTTCATGGCCAGGAGCTGCATCTGCCGCTTCTTCTTCGCGCGCGCGGAGTCGCGCATCCGCTTCTTCTTCTCGCTCTCCTCGGCCTTGGCCTCGAGGTCCGGCCGCGCGCCGCCGCTCGACGCCGCGGACGCCGCCGACACGGCCGTGCCCGGCCGCGACCCGAGGGACGAGCGCCGCGACAGCGCCGTGCCGGGCCGCTCGGACGCGGCCGTGTCCGGCCGGTCGCCCGCCCTCGACTCCGCGTCGTCGTCCTTTCTTTCCTGCTTTTCGTCGAAGACCTCCACCTCCTTCGTCGACGCGGCCAGCGCGTCGTCGTCGGCCTTCATGGCGCCGTCGTCGAAGTCGCCGGCCTTGGCGCTGTCGAGCCGGACCTCGCCGTCGTCGTCGAAGTCCGCGTCCTCGAGCTGCCGCTGCTTGTCGCGCGTCGCCTGGACCTTGATCTGCAGGTCCAGGGCGTCGACGTCGGCGCGCAGGTCGGCGATGCGCCGGTCGAGGGTCGACTGCTCGTTCTCCCACTCCTGGTACTGCTCGACGATGTCGCCGCGCGCGACGGCGCTGTCCTGCTGCTCGGGCCAGTTGAAGAGCGTCTTGCAGTTCATGCAGATGTTGCGGTAGATGTTCGCGGGCACCTCCGGGTTGACCTTGCGGCAGTGGATGCACCGGAACTTCTTGTGGCGGGAGGACTTGAGCACGCGCGACTGGAGCACGATCTCCGTGTCGACCTCGCCCTCGAGCTTCGCGCCGTCCTTGAACCACTGGTACGTCGGCAGCGGCCAGGCGTCGCCCTCGCACGTCAGCGTGATGCGGGGCGTCATCTCGTTGAGCTGGGGGCCCGGGTCGATGAAGACGGACCGCGGCTGCGTCACGACCTTGGGCGTGTACTCCTTCGCGCGGAGCCACCGGATGCCCGACAGCGTGACGCCCTCGGACGAGCTCCAGTTCTTGTTGATGCGCAGGCGCCAGTAGCGCCGCACCTTGTAGACCTCCGTGGGCACGGTGACGCGCCACCACGTGCGGCCGCCGTCCATGCGGACCGTGATCTTCGCCGGGTGGCGCACGAGCGCGGCCTCCTTCCGCCGCTGCGCCGCGAGCTTGCGGTTGTGGAAGTCCATGGGCTGCTTCGCCAGGACCTGGGCCATGGGCACGAGCGACTTGGGCGCCGGCAGGTCGAAGGCGAAGATCGTCGTGTAGTGGCCCTTGGCCGCGTTGCACGCCTCGACGACGCAGCTCCGCGGCGCCGTCGTGTCCTCGCGGACCTGGAGCTCGATGGTGCCGATGCAGATGGGCGCGCCCAGGTCGTAGACGATCCACTGCTTCTTCGTCGCGCCGCTGCGCGAGCACCAGAAGGTCTTGGGGTTGTGGTCCAGCGTCTTGTCCGCGTTGAACTCGATGTCGTACTCCGAGCTCACGAGGATCGCGTTCGGGCCCTGGATGCTGCGCCTCACGTCCAGCTCGCGCTTCGCGTGCATCATGCGGTAGGCCCGCTGGAGCGTCTTCGCCGCCTCGACCTCGCGGCGCTTGTTGCGGAGCGCGAGCTTGCCCAGGAACATGCGCGCGGCCGCCTGGAGCCGGATCTTCGCGGCGACGCGCTTCACGAGCCACTCGCGGACCATGGCCTGGATCGTCCGCGCGGCGATGGTCTGCCGGAGCAGCCGCTCGACGAGCCACCGCGCCTGGAGGAAGCGGAACTTGCACTGGAGCATGACGAGGCGGTCGAGCACGGACTTGAACGCGTCGACGGAGCCGAGGCGGATCGTCGCCTCGTGCCGCGGCGCCTTCTCCACCATCTCCTCGCGGTCCGCGGCGTCGAGGGACGGCCGCACGTCCAGCGGCTCCCGGCAGCCCAGCAGTTCGACGAGGACGAAGCCCTTCGAGGGCACGCGGAGGCCGACCTCGACCGGCTCCTCCGGCTCCGCGGGCGCGGGCCCCGCGGCCTCGGGCGCCGCCGCGCCGTCGCCGCCGCCGTCCCCCGCCTGGACGATCTCCACCGTGCCGCGCTGGTCGCCGCGCACGGGCCCGCCCTTGAAGCCCATGTTCTCCTGGGCGATCTCCAAGCGGAGGCCGACCTGCGACTTCCGATAGATCGCGTTCACGGAGTCGTCGTCGTCGCCGTCGGCGAACTCGTGGTCCAGGGGCGGCGCCGGGTACTCGAGGACGATGGCCGGCCCGTAGACCGTGCGGATCCTCGTGCCCGCGTTCGAGATCATCGTCTTCGCGGCGCGCATCGCGATGCGCCGGAGCCGCTTCGTGCCGAACGTCGCGTCGCGGCCGTAGTAGATGAGCCAGTTCAGGTCCCAGGCCCGTAAATTGCGCGAGATGTGCTGCATCGCCTGCTGCCGCGCGCGCCAGGCCGGGTCCGACCGCGCGGCGACGCCCTGCGTCTGCGCGGTCCGCCGCTCCGCGAGCTCGGCCTCGCGGATCGCGGCCTTCTTCTCCAGGACGCGCTCCCGCGCCTGGACGATGCGCGCCATGCCCTGGATCGTCAAGATGGCGAACGTCTGCTCGATCCAGAGCACGATGCGCAATCTCGCGATCCGCGCCGTCGCGACGACGCGCCGCTTCGCGACGATCTGGATCCTCCGCGCCGCGTGGTACTCCTTGCGCTTGACCTGGAGCGCCTCCCAGGCGATGCGCCGCCGGAAGAAGCTCTCGAGCTTGACGGCGGCGTGGCGCCGCACCTTGATCATGCGGACGACGCGCCGCGCCCGCGCGACGCGGTAGCCCGCCTGGATGATCGTCGACGCGTGGGCGACGACGCGGTCCGCCTCGAGCTTCTTGCGCCGCCGGTCCAGCTTCTCGAAGGTCGCGAGCCGGTTCCGCGCCCAGGCCTGGAGCCGCCGCGACGCGCGGCGCCGGAGCCGCTTCCGGTCCAAGTCCTCGGGGCCCGGCTTGTCCTGCCAGTGGAGCTCGACCTCGATCTCGCCGCGGTCGTGGATCTGCTCGCGCTTCAGCGGGTCGGACCGCCGCCAGATGGGGTGGTAGGGCCGGTAGTCGCCGACGCGGAACCACCGCCGGAACGCGCGGCGGCCCTCGTTCGGCAGCGCGCCCAACTGCACGAGCACGTCGCCCAAAAAGTCGTCGGCGCTCAGCCGGTCCCAGTCCCAGAGCGAGATGCGCAGCACCTCCGCCGGGTCCGACACGTCGACCTCGAAGGTCTCGTTGTACTCCGGGTTGAGCGTCTGCCGCTTCACGCGCGTGCGGAACGTCCGCCCGTTGCACTCGACGCGCACGTAGGGGTCGCTCGACAGCAGGTCCGCGACGCGAATGTCCGACGCGCGGAAGATCGTCAGCTTCAGCGTCTTCTCCTCCTCCGCGCAGCCGTAGCCGTCGAGGAATTCGAGGAAGCCCTCGCCGTGCGGCGCGAAGGCCTTGAGCTCCTCCGCGCGCTTCCGACTTCCCGGCTTGGGGATCTTGTGCGTCGGGTTGCCGGCCCAGGCGCCGTGGTAGATGGCCACGTTCTTGACGCGCAGGTGCGGCGACTGGCCGAACTGGCTCCCGATGTCGATCTTCGCGGCCCAGACGTTCTTCGCGTCGTCCTTCGCGGACGCGCTGTCCGGGGGCAGCTTGCTCCGGTCGCCCTCCTTGGGCTTGACGGACGTGCGGTCGGCGTAGGGGCCGATGTGCTGCGTCTCGACGACCTTGGCGACGGGCTCGAGGCGGTCGTTGTGCGCGTCGTGCGCCGCGCCGCGCCGCGTCTTCGCGCCGACGGCCTTCTTGAACTGTTTCTTATATTGGTCGTTGGCCGCGTCGAGGAGCGCGTCGGCGCCGCCGAGGTACCAGGCGGCCTTGAACTGCTTGAGCTTCGTCGACGCGGCGAAGGCGAGGCGCCGCGTCGTCGCGAGCCGCAGCCGGTCGGACGCGTGCGCGAGGAACGTCGCCTGCGGCCGCGCCTGGGCGGCAAAAGAGAGATTCAACGTCGCTTCAATGTGAGTGTTCCGCGCGCGCGCGTTCCAAAAAAAACATCAACGCTTCGAGACCGTTCCGAGAGATGATCGCTCGTCCAAAAATCAGCCAAAACGAGTGAAAAACGACCGAGATACGAGCCTTTGAAGTTGGGAATTTCGCTCTCTTTTGCTGCCCTGCGGCCGCGCGGCCTCGTGGCGCCGGTAGGACCGCGCGACGGGCGCCGCGGCGACGAACTTCTTCCAGGAGATCATGTCGCCCTCGCGGTCCTCGCGCACGGTCGCGATGGCGCTGATCTTCGCGCCGACGCCGCCCAAAATCTGGCGCACGACGTTGTTCGGCCGCGCGCCCGTGCGGAGCGCGCGGATGCGGAGCGCGCGGAGCCGGTGGCGCAGGGCGACCTCCCACTCCATGTTCTTCTTCTGGCGCAGCACGCGCTGGTAGTTGGAGTAGATGGGCGGCACGGAGAGCGCGCTGAGCTCGGGCGCCTCCCACGCGGGCAGGTCGTTGCGGAGGTCGTTGATGTTGAGCCCGAGCTTGAGCCGCAGCAGCGCGCGCGCGCCGCCGATGTGCATGGCCGCGAAGGTCGTCAGCGTCTTGAGCAGGACGACGCGCCGCGCGCGGGACCCGCACCAGTACGCGTAGCGCACGCGGCCGACGCGCTTCCGCGCCTGCGACTTGCGCGCCGCGCACTGGATGACGACCGCGGCCTGCGTCGCCTTGGACCCGCTCTTGTGGGCCCGGGCCCACATGATGAGAGCCGTCTTGTTGCCGATGACGGCGTCGGCGGCCATGATGTCCGGGTACCGCTTGTCGAGCGCGTCGATGCGGCAGAGCGCCTTCCGCGACGCGGTGAACGCGTCCGGGATGGTCATCATGGGGATGCTCACGTTGGCGCCGTCGGAGTCGAAGGTCAATTCGGCGACGGCCTTGCCCGGCACGCTGTCGTCGATGGCCGCGAGGAAGGCCGTCTGGCCCCGCCGCGAATTGTTCGTGTCGACGACGCGGACCGCGTCGCCCTGCCTGAGCTCCGTGGCCTTGGCGGCCTTCGTCAAGAGCTCGGACCGCTTCTTGCCCCGCTGGTAGGCGTCGAAGCCGCCGTCGCGCCAGGCCTGGGCCTCGATCTTCAAAAGCTGGAAGAGCTCGATCGCGTCCGTCCGGAGCTCGGAAGCCTGGGACAACGGCGACAGCGTGTAGGACATGGGGTCCAGACCCAGAGGCAGGGCCACGCGCAGAAAGGCCCGCTGCGTCGCGCGCTGGTAGCGCCCGAAGACGCCGCGCAGCAGCTTGCCCTGGCGGCCCCGCTGGAGGTGCTGGTAGTGCAGGGCGAAGTTCACGCGCCGGTGCGCGTTCGCGTCGCGCCGCGCGAGCGCCTTCCGGAAGGCCGTCTGGCACTTGAGCGCCGCTAGATTCTCGAGGTGGAACTGGAGGATGTTGTCGAAGCGCCGCCGGCCGAGGACGCCGCGGTAGCGCCGCTGGACGACGAGCGCGGACTCCTCGGACCGCTGGAGCGCGCGCTGGCGCTCCTTCTCCTTCTTCTTCGCCGTCTCGATGCCCTTCTTGTGGTCCTCGACGAACTGGATCGCCGCCTCCTTCTGGCGCACGGCCCGGAGCCGGTGCACGCGGCGCTTCGCGAGGTACATGCGCGCCTGCGTCTGCACCCACTTGATCTGCGCGAGGCTCGCGGCGAACATCTTGTTCTCCTCCTCGGCCGCCTCCATGCCCTCGGCCTCCATCTCGCGCTGGATGAAGAGGCGGAGCTCGATGTGGCGCCGCATGCGGCGCACGAGGCGCTTCGCGAACCAGCGCCGCGCGGCCGACTGGAGGATGATGATCGAGTAGTCGACGTCGATGCGGTGCGCGTGGCAGTAGTCGCGCGCCATCTTGCCGCGCCACATGCGCTGGACGACGACGCAGGCCAGCGCGAACTGCACGCGCTCCTCCTGCGTCCGCTCCCACTCCTCCAACTCCAGATTCCGCGCGGCCTGCGCGTCCTCCGCGCGGTCCATGTTCTCCTGGGCGAGGCGCGCCCGCGCCACCTGCGTGTGCGCCGTCTCCACGTCGACGCGCCCCATGGCCACGGCGACGGCGGCGATGCACACGGCCGCGTCCGCGAGCGCGTGGAGGTAGGCCTCATAAGAGGCGCGGCCCGCGCGCCGCGCGATGATGTTGAGGCGGAACTTGGCCAGCACGCGGCGCACGCGGTTCGCCTCCGCCAGGAGCTCGACGCGCGCCTTGGCTGCGCGGATGGCGACGCGCTTCCGCGCGTGCTGCACGAGCTTGGGCCAGCAGAGGTCCTCGAGCATGCGGTCGCGGCGGTGCGCGAAGTGGTGCTCCGCGAGCGCCATGTTGTTCCGCAGGCGCCGCCGCAGCACGCGGCGCCTCCAGAGGTGGACGAAGCCCGACCGCAGGTGCTTCAGCCGCTCGAGCCTGACGCCGAGCGTGTGGTTGATCTTCGACTGCTTCCAGTAGCTCGTGATCCGCATCGCGCGCGACAGCGCGGACCGCATGCGGATGGGCTCGACGACGGGCTCGGCGCGCTCCAGGAGCCGGCGCTTGTTGCGCTTGAAGGCCGCGTAGAGCTTGAAGGCCGCGAAGACGCGCGGCGCGTCCGCGTCGAAGCGGATCTTCATGACCGCGATCTTCACCTCCACGAGCTTCTTCGAGTGGAGGCTCCGCTCGAGGGCCCAGAGCTTGAGCGGCAGGAAGGTCAGCGCCAGAATCTTCAGGTTGTGGTGCGCGACGGCGACGCGCGCGGCCGCGCTCAGCGGCGTCTCGTCGCCGTTGTACGAGTCGACGCTGCAGCACTGGAGGAAGATGACGACGAGCTTGTGGCGGTGGATGACCTGGTCGTGGGCGTAGGTCTGCCAGGCGTGGAGGAGCGGCGCCCGCTTGCGCCGCCCCCAGAACTCGAAGGCCATCTGCCGCTTCGTCCAGGGGCCGCCGTCGCGGTGCGAGTACTTGTGCCAGTCCGTGAGCTTCTTGCGGGAGACGACGCGGCCGAAGTGGGCGTTTGCCTTGGCGGCCTGGGCCGGGTCCTCGCCGACGATCCAGGGCCGCGTGCGCTCGACCCGGGACCACTCGAGGAGGTAGCGGCGCCGCGCGGCGCGCCGCGCGAGCGCCTTCGACGCCTTGACGCGCCGCCGCGCGCGCGCGGCGCGCACGCGGGCGACGAGCATGGTCGCGATGGTCGCCGTCGCCTTCTGCAGTTGCACGAGCTTCTTGCGGTGGTAGCGCGCGGAGACGCCGCGCGCGAACGACTGGATGACCACGGACGCGTCGTCGCGCTCCACGAGGCGGTCGAAGCGGTCCTCGTACTCGCGCCGGTGCTCGCGCATGATGCGCCACTGGGCCTTGACCAGGTTGACGGCGTGGACGCTGTTCCGGCGGTCCTCGCGGTCCTGATTCCGCACCTCCAGATCGCGGCTCTCCGCGGTCCAGTGCAGGCTCAGCGACTCGCCGACGAAGTAGTTCGTCGCCGCGTAGGCGTCGCGCAACCCCAGATACAGCTCGACGACGGCCTCGGGGTCGTTGGCCGTCTTGCCCCGGGAGCAGGCGAGGTACGGGTGGTTCGCGACGGCGGCCGCGACTTTCGACGCGTCGACGTGCCGACACCCGCCCACGTCCAGGCGCCGCAGGTAGGCCCAGGCGTCGGCGTCGAGCCCCGTCGTCGGGAAGACCGGCGCCTCGGCGCCGTCGAAGTCCGGGGGCAGGCCCAGGAGCGCGAAGACCGCGCGCTCCGTCAACGCGCCGCAGCCCCGGAGGTCCACCGCGCGGATCTTCGGGCAGCGGCCCGCGACGGCGCGGATCGCCGCGTCCGTGACGCGCGGCAACCGCGCCGCCCGTAGCGCGACCATGCTCCGCGGCAGGCCGCTCACCGCGGCGTCGTCGACGTGCTCGCAGCCCGAGACGTCGAGCGCCGTGAGGTGCTTGAGGGTCACGATCTCCTTGATGCCCCGCGCGCCGAGCGTCGCGCACTGGCTCACCTCGACGCGCTTCAACTTGCGGCAGCAGCGCGCGACCTGCACGACCGCGCCGTCCGTCGCGTTCGGCAAGACCCTGAGCGCGACCTCGCGGAGCGTCGCGCAGTGCTCCGCGACGGCCAGGAGGCCGTCCTCGGCGACGCGCGCCGACGCCTCGAAGCGCAGGACCCGGAGCTTGTCGCAGGCCTTGACCAGCAGACGCACGCCGAGGTCGCTGATCTTGCAGTGGCTCAGGTCGACGCGGCGGAGCGGCAGCTTCCGCGCGAGGTGCTCCTGGTTGCCCCGGCTCCGCGCCTTCGCCAGGGTCTCCAGGGACTCGTCGTTGACCGCCGTGTCCGTGAGATCGAGGTCCACCAGGTGCTCGAGCGCCGCGAGCTCCGCGAGCATCTCGCCGCCGCCGACCCTCCGGCACCGCGCCAGGTTCAGCACGCGGAGCGCGGGGCACGCGAGGGCGATGCGCTCGACGATCTCGTCGCTGACCTTGGGGTTGCCCGTGAGCTCGAAGCGGCGCAGGTGGCGCAGCGCGCCGTGCTTCTTCCAGCCCGAGATGACCTTGACCTCGAGCAGCGCGCGCGAGATGCCGTCCGTGAGCCCCGGCGAGTCCCTGAGCACGAGCGACTTGAGCTGGCCCTTGCCGCCGGTCCGGTGGTCCGACGCCTTCAATTTGTGGTCCGGGTCGCCGCACATGGCGATCATCGTCGACAGCGCGTCGTCGTCGAGCCGCGGCCACCCGGACAGGTCCACGTCCTCCAAGCTGTGGCTCGCGACCGCGAGGCACGACGGCCCCGAGAGCCGCGCGCACTCGGCGAAGCTCACGGACCGCAGCGTGCCGCCGTTCTTCTCCAGGAGCTCCGTGACGCCCATGTCCGTGATCTTCGGCAGCTCCGCGAGCTTCAACGTGCGAAACTGCCGCGCGTTCGCGCTCTGCGCCCACGCGCGGAGCGTCCGGTCCGTCAGCAGGCCGCAGCGGCTCAGGTCCAGGTACGTCAGCCGCTTCGCCGCCTTGGCCAGCGCCCGGCAGACGCCGTCGCTCAGCGCCGTGCAGCCGCTCAGGTCCACGGACGTGACGATGTCCGCGACGAACTGGCGGCACTCGACGAGCGCGGTCACGGAGCTGTCGTCCGGCGCGCCGACGTGGCCGCCGCCGCCGAGCTTGATGGCCTGCGTGCGGCCCTCCGTGCGCTTCACGCAGCGCAGGATCGTGTCCTCGACGTCCGCGTGCGGCCACCGCCGGAGGTCGAGCACGTCGCGGGGCACGAAGGACCAGGGCCGGAAGAAGCCCTCGTCGGGGAAGGCGTACTCCTCGGCGCGCCAGCCGCCGTGGTACGTCTCCTCGTAGGCGACCTCGCCGCCGCCCGTGTGCAGGCCCACGCGCCGCGCGACCTGCGCCGGCTCGCGCGGCTTCTTCGCCGGCGACGGCCGCTCCGGCGACGGCGCCGCGACGGCGCGCCGGCCGTACTTGCCGTTGGCCCGCTGGCGCGGGTCGCTGTCGCCGTCGAGGCCGAGCTGGGCCCGCGCCCGGGCCAGCGCGCGCTCGCGGCTCTTGGGCCGCGCCTCGCGCGAGTTCGGCCGCGACGCGCCCGCGCTCGACGGCTCGCTGCGCTCCCGGCTCCCGGGGCGCGACGCGCCCCGCGACGGCGTCGACGAGCTCGGGTGCGACGACGGCGCCTCGCTGCCCGGCGTGCCCGGCCGGCCCGGCGCGGTCCGGCTGTAGGCGCGCCGCGCGTCGAGCTCGTCGACTGGCGGCATGGCCGCGCGGAAGCGCGCCGGCGGCGCCGACGCCGAGTTGGCCAGGCCGCGGTCGCCGTCGCTCGCGGACTCGGAGCCGCTCCCGGACTCGCCGGACGACGCGAGGCCCGACGCGCGCTTCTTCCGCCGCCGCTTCTTCTTGAGCTTCGTCGCGGCCACGGCGACCATCTCCGCGGCCCGCGCGCCCTGCTGCGCCTTTTCCATGCGCGCCGCCTGCTTCAGGAACGAGGGGCGCGGCGGCGCCATCGTCCCCGAGGGGCCAGCGCGGGGCGGGCTGCCCCCAGCGCTCGTCTTACTATCGATGCACGGTGCCGTTCAGGCTGCCCGGCTGCACGTGCGACATGTCGCGCTCCATGGAGGAGCTGACGCCGGCGATGGCGCGAGCGCCGGCCGCCGACCGGGAGGAGTCCCTGGCGGGGCTCGAGAGCCGGAGCGACACGTGCCTCTGCAGCCGCGGCGTCCACGTCGGCTGCTGCGTCGCCGCGCTGGCCGTGGGCGTCGAATACGGCATCATCTACCCCACCATCTACCAGTACCTGCGGTCGCTGGGGCCCAAGCCGGAGCTCCACATGGGCGTGTGCTGCGCCGTCTTCTCCTTCGCGCGCGTCGTGACCTACGTGCCCCTGGGCCACGTCGCGGACCGCTGCGGCGCGCGCGCGCCGTCCGCGGGGTTCTTCCTCCTCGCGGCGCTGGGCAACCTCTACTACTTCGTCGCCCGGCGGCCCATGGACGTCGTCCTGAGCCGCGCCGTCGTCGGCCTGGGGTCCTCCGTGTCCTCCGTGCTCTGCGGCGTCGTCGGCGCCTGCCAGGGCAGCAAAAGAGAGCGAAATTCCCAACTTCAAAGGCTCCGATCTCGGCCGGTTTCCACTCGTTTTGGCTGATTTTTGGACGAGCGATCATCTCTCGGAACGGTCTCGAAGCGTGGATGCTTTTTTCGGAACACGCGCGCGCGCGGAACACTCACGTTGAAGCGACGTTGAATCACTCTTGTGCTGCCCAGGCGCCTGCGGCGAGGACCCGGACGCGCGCGCGATCCGCGACCGGCGCGCCGCCGGCGTCCGCTTTTTTTAGGTTCGCGCGTCCCACGTTGCGCGCAGGCGCCTCGCGGTCTTCAACGCGACGTCCCTCGTCGCCATCGTCGCCGGGCCGGGGTTGAGCGCGTGCTTCGCGCTCGTGCCCGAGGCCGGCCTCGCGATCGGGCCCTACGCGCTCACGCGGTACCGCGCGCCGGGCCTCGCCGTCGCCGCGCTCATGGCCGGCTGCGCGTGCTGGGCCGCGGTCGCGCTGCCGGACCGGCCCCGGCCGCCGCCGGCGCACGAGGCGAGCCACGGCCGCCGCGACGCCTACGGCACGCTCGTCCGCCGCCGGGGCGCGTCCGTGCTCGTCGTCGCCTGCGTCGGCGGCGCGATCATCGCCGCGCTCGACATCTCCTTCCCCATCGTCGCCCACGAGAACTTTGGCGCGAACCCGACGCTCATCGCCGCGCTGCTCGCGTGCTTCGCGTGCGTCGGCGTCGTCGCGATGGCGTCGTCGGAGTGGTACCGCCGGGGCCGCGACGACCGGGACCTGCGCGTGCGCGTCGTGCGCTGCGGCGTCGCGACGCAGATGCTCGGCGGCCTCGGCGGCCTGTCGACCTTCGTGCTCCTCGGCGGGTCCCGCGGCTCCGACGACGCCGCGCTCGCCGCGCCCGCGCTCCTCGCGGGCGCGGTCGTCGTCGCGGGCGTCATGTCGGCGACGACGCCGAACCTCCAGCTCCTGGCCAACGCGGCGGACATGCGGAGCCACGCGGGCTTCTACAGCGGCATCCGGGCGGTCGCGCTGAGCCTCGGGCGCATGCTCGGCGGCTTCTTCGCGGGGCTCCTCCTCGACGTCAACCGGTCGCCGAGCCACTGGCCCACCTTCGCCTTCGTCATCTCCGCGACGGCCCTGGGGCTCGGGGTCATCGTCTGCTTCCCGCCGAGGACCGCGGAGCTCCCGAAGCGGCCGCCGGACGCGCCGCCGCTCGACGAGCCCCTCCTCCGCGGCTCCGACTCGACGGGCGTCGACGTGGCGTCGGAGCCGTAACACTAATTCGCACCGCTTTTTTTTGAGGTTGTGATGTACTCTTGGACGCGGGCTTTGGTCAACTGCCGGAGGCGTCGCAGGGTGCAAGATTTTGAGCGATTTTGCTTAGCCGCGGCGCAGGGAAGGACCGAAGGGGGAGAGAACAGCGAAGGCGATTTTGCCCTTGCGTGATCGAGCCTCTCGAGCGAGCGCCCCCAACAAATAGCCCGCGCGTCGCCCCGCAAACGATCATGAAGGCCGAGTACGTCGAGAAGCAGCGCGAATACGAAGAGAAGAAGGCGCGGGCGAAAGCGCTACAGCTGCGTTTGACGTGCACAATTTGTGGGGCGAAACCGAGAACCTTGCTGAAGTGTCCCTGCGGGACGACACAATATTGTAGTACAGACTGCCAACGGATCGACTGGCGCGAGCGGGGCCACCGGAAGGCGTGCAAGAAGATCCGGAAGCGCGCGGCGGAAGCGCCGACGCCCCCGCCGTCGCCGCCGCGGGACGTGTTCTACGGCCCCGCGCCGCGGTCGCGCGCCGACGAGGTCCGCGCGCGCATCGCGGCGGAACACGAGGCGGCCCGTGCCCTGCGAGAGGCGAACCCGGAGCAGGAGCCGACGTCCGCGCGGTTCGGGTCGCGGTGCCCGATCTGTCTCGAGGAGTGGGACGTGAATGCGACGCGCGTGTTTCGCGTCTGTTGCTGCCGGACGGTCTGCCAATCGTGCGAGGACAAGATCGGAAACGCGTGTCCCCTCTGTCGTCTGCCGCGCGCGGAAACTAATGCTGAGCTGCTCGCGCGTCTTCGCCGCCATGTGGAGAACGAGGTGCCGGAAGCGATTGCGCATTTGGCAAATGCGTACAGCCGCGGTTACTACGATCTCGTGAAATCCGATAAGAAAGCGGCGAAGATTTACCGGCGCGCCGTGGAGCTCGGGGACGTGCAGGCGATCGTGAATCTTGGGACATTGTACGTTACTGGAAGTGGCGTCAAGCTGGACAAGAAGAAGGCGGAGGAGCTGTTTCGCATGGCCGCAGATCGGGGCGACGCGTTCGCGCAATGCAATTTAGGTTTTTTACTTGATTCTGAGCAGAGATTTGAAGAAGCGTTCCGGTACTACGCGCTCGCGGCGGATCAAGGCGATACCGGTGCGGAGTGCAACCTTGGCTGTTGTTACAGGGACGGAGACGGCACGGAAGTCGACCTCGGCAAAGCCAGGTACTGGCTCGAGCGCGCCGCTGCCAAGGGCTACGAGGATGCTATAAAGTTCCTCGCGCGCCTCGACGCGCGAGTATAGCCTAACAATCTTTACGCCGCGTCCCCACCCGAGCCCGAGATGCTACGCTTGCGCGCGGGCGAGTCGTGCTTGGCCTTGGCGTCGTCGTCGCCGCGTTTCTCCCCGCGCCGACGTTCGCGGTCTGGTGCCTGGCGTTCTTGAACGCGAAGCCCGCCCGGCGCGAGGGGGGCATGGAGAACGACATGAACGCGATGCTCGAGGGTGGGCTTAAGCCCTGTATTGCGAGCCGTAAGCTCGTTTTCGAATCGCCTTACGCACGGGGGCTCACTTCGGCGCGGGTCGCCGCGGGGTTGCGCGGAAGGGCGGGTAGCGCGGGCCGACGCCTCCTCAGGCGCGGCGGCGCTTCGACGCGGGCTCGGCCTCGGGCACGCTGACGGACAGCACGTAGCGGAAGCCGCGGACGGACTCGAGATCCATCGGCGCGAACTCGACGCCGCGGGCGCCGCTGAGCTCGATGGACCGGCGCTTCCAGTCGCCCTCGACGCCGTGGGCCGACAGCATCGAGACGCACTCGTTGCGCAGCGTCGCGTCCTGCGACCACATGTAGTTGTCGGTCGGAGAGCCGAACGTCTGCGACCCGGAGTACTTCGAGCCGACGAGCGCGAGGGGCGTGGGCAGGCACTTGTTGATGTACTCGAGGCTGTCGGAGTCCATGAGGAAGCCGAACTCGTATTTCGCGCTCGGCTTGCCGCGCATCTTCGTCTTGATGTGCGCGACGCCCTTGCGCAGGTCGGCGCGGCCCTTGATGTACGCCTTCGCGCGGATGTCGCGCGCGAAGGTCCCGGCGTCGTCCTCCTCCTCGTCGTCGTCCTCCTCCTCGTCCACGCCGAACCGTAGCTCGCCGAGGTCTTCGACGAGCGGCAGGAGGAGCCAATCCGCGACCGCGACCCACTCCTTGAGCTCGACGCCGTCGACGAGCGCGAGCTCGTCCCCCGCGTAGTAGGCCTGCACCTGGGCCGCCATCTCGTCGCACCAATTCTCGTCCGCGACGTCGACGGGCTCGATCGTGAGCGACTTCGTCTTCCCCTTCCAGCAGGGCTTGGCCATCGTCGCCAGCATCGTGTCCGGGTGCTCCTTGAGCTGCTCGTCCGGGATTTCGAACGTGACGTCGGCGCCCTTCTTGAACTTGAGGCGGAACTGCATTTTCTAATATCCTCTACGACGGGGGTGTGTTTGCGACGACGCTGGTGGTCAAATCACTGGGCGCCCAAGATTTTTGTGGCGAAATCGGTTTGGCAACTAAGTTACTTTGCGAGATTTTGGGCGAAAACTGCGAGTAGAACGACCGTGCCCGCCACCCCCCCAAACGATTATGAAGGCCGAGTACGTTGAGAAACAGCTCGAGTACGAGGCGAAGAAGGCCCGAGCCAAGGCATTATCCCTCCGCATCACGTGCACAATTTGTGGGACGAAACCGAAGACCTTGCTGAACTGCCCTTGCGGTACAACGCAGTGCGTCCCGGCGCACGGACGGGTCGGGGGCGGCGCGCTCGCGCGCGATGCGACCCCGCAGGTACTGCTCGACTGAATGCCAACGCATCGATTGGCGCGAGCGGGGTCACCGAAAGGCGTGCAAGAAGATCCGAAGCGAGCGCGCGGCGGAGGCGGCGCGGGCCGAGGCGCCGACGCCCCCGCCGTCGCCGCCGCGCGACGTGGTCTACGGCCCCGCGCCTCGGTCGCACGCCGACGAGGTCCGCGCGCGCATCGCCGCGGAACACGAGGCGGCGCGTCTGCGGCGCGAGGCGAACCCGGAGCGGGAGCCGGTGATGGACGCGCGATTCGGTTCGCGGTGCCCGGTCTGCTTCTCGGACTGGGACGTGAATGCGTTCGGGTTCCTTCGTTTCTGTTGCTGTCGCAACATCTGCGACTCGTGCAACAAGAAGCTTCCCTTGATGAAAGAGCCGTGTCCTCTCTGTCGGGCGCCGCCGCCGAAGTCCGCGGCCGAGGACCTGGCGCGACTTCGGCGCCATGTGGAGAACGATGTGCCGGAGGCGATCACATTTTTGGGCCATATGTACCTCCACGGTGACATGGATCTGAAGCAATCCGCGAAGAAGGCTGCGAAATTGTTCAGGCGAGCCGTGGAGCGTGGCAACCTGCGGGCCATGTGCGCTCTCGCGCTGTTGTACGTACACGGCGAAGGCGTCAAGCAAAGCAATCAGAAGGCGAATCAGCTCTATCGCATCGCCGCGGACCGGGGGAGCGCTTTGGGCCAGTGCAATCTTGGCAGTCGATACGCGCTGGAAGGAAAATTCGTCGACGCCGCGCGGTATTACAAATTATCGGCAGAGCAGGGCTACTCTAAAGCTGAATTCAATCTTGCGCAATGCTATCACCATGGAGACGGCGTGGAGCGGGATTTGGAGATTGCCAAGCGCTGGTTCGCTCGCGCGAGTGCCAAGGGCGACAGCGATGCAATGTATTCTCTTGGATTATGCTGCGTCGACCTTTCCGGCGAAGTCACACAGAACACTGCGGAACACATGCGGGAAGCCATACGCTGGTTAGAGAGTGCGGTCGCCGCTGGCCACGAGACGGCCGGAAAGGTTCTTTCAGATCTCCAAGCTTGGCTCCAGCGCTTCGAGTCATCTCAATGCCCGGGCCCAAGCGAACCTTCAAATGCCCCGGCAGCGGCCGCGGCGACGCCGTCCGAGTCGCAAGCCGTGGCCGCGGCGACCGCGGAATCGAAGGCGAAGGCAGCCGCGGCGAAGGCGGCCGTGGCGAAGGCATGGGCGTTGACCGCGCCTTCTCGAAGAAAACAGAAATAACGGAACTGTAGACTAGTCAAGGGCCTTAGCCATCCCCCCCCGGCGGCGACTCGAAGAGGTCCGCCAAGCTCCGCCGCGAGTCGCGGCGCGGCGTCGGGCGGGGCTGCGGCGAGTCGTCGCCGCCGCCGCTGAGCACGAGGCCGTCGCCCTCGAGGGGGTTCACGGCGACGCCCGGGTGCCACGTCGACGCGTTGAGGGCGCACCAGTCCGGCGCGGACGGCGCGTCGAAGACGGAGGCCACGGTCTTCGCCTCCTTGCCCGACACGGGCGAGCTCGGCGGCTCCCCGGGCGGTGGCGCGAACTTGTGGAAGTGGCGCGCGAAGGCCTCCTCGGTCACGACGCCGCGGACGTCGTGGTCGATGGAGAAGAACAAGGCGTCGGCCTCCGCGCGCGATAAATGCGGCAAGCGGTCGTGGAACTTGTTCGGCGTGATCAGACCCTCGGAGTCGAGCTGGAGGAGCCGGTCGCGCCAGATGCTCCGGAAGTCCGGCGCCGCCTCCGTGAGGTTCCGGAGCGCCGTGTCGCTCAGGTCCGCGCCGTCGTCGGAGCGGCCGACGACCTTGGCGGGCACGCCGACGGCCGTCGCGCCCGCGGGGATGTCGGCGAGGACGACGCTCCCGCAGCCGATCTTGGACCGCGCGCCGACGCGCACGTTCCCCAGGACCGACGCGTGCGCGCCGACGAGGCAGCGGTCGCCGAGCTTCGGGTGGCGGTCGCCGCGCTGCTTGCCCGTGCCGCCGAGCGTCACGCCGTGCAAGAGCGAGCAGTCCCGGCCGACGACGGCCGTCTCGCCGATGACCAGGCCCGTCGCGTGGTCGATCAGGCAGCCCGCGCCGACCCGGGCCGCCGGGTGCACGTCCATGCCGAAGACCTCCGAGCCGCGGCTCTGGCAGAGCAGCGCCGACCGCCGGTCGCCCGCGAGCCAGAGCGCGCGCGCGCAGCGGTGGAGCTGGAGCCCCAGGAAGCCCTTGAAGTGGAGCAGGCAGTGCAGCGCGTCCGCGCAGGCCGGGTCGCGGTTGACGACGGCGTCGAGGTCCGCGCGCGTCTCCGCGCCGTCGACGCGGCGGAACGCCCCGGTCAGGAGCGCGGCCCAGCGCCGCGCGCCGAACTCCGCGTTGCCCAGCTTGAGCGCGAGGATCTGCGCCAGCGCCGCGTCCAGCGAGTCGCGGCGGAGCACCGCCGCCCGCAGCCAGCACGCGATCGCCGGCTCGCGGCGCGCGGCCGCCGCCGCCAAGGCCTTGATCGCCCGCCAGGCCGGGTCGAGCGCCTCTTCGCGCCGCCGCCGGTGCCGGCGCGCGGCGACGAGGGTCGCGGCGACCGCGGCGGCGCCGACGACGACGAGGCCGCTGCGCTGCATCTCTAGATGCGGTCCGAAGACGCCCTCCACAGGGCCGCGCGACCGCACGAACGCGGAACGTGCCACTGCGCACGACAAGCCGCACACGGAGAGCGTCGCGTTGCTAAATGCGGCCGGGCGGCTGCGGCATAAGCTGGCGACAAAAAAAAGCAACCATGTGATTGCAGTGCAACTCTTCGAACGCCCTCTAACGCAGGGCTGTGCGACCGCGCACGTGAAAGCGGGAAGGTGCTACTGCGCGCAACGAGCCGCACGCGGAGAGGGTCGCGCGCCGGAAGAAGAAACAAAAAAGCGGAGCGAGAGGCGCGAGCGACCAAAAGGTAAAGGTCGAGAATGAACAGATGTATGAATAGACGGGCGGGGGATGGTACAGGCGGTGGTCGTCGGGGGCTTGTGCGCCCCCGGCCAGCGGTCGTGGTCGCGGTCGCGCCGCGCGGCCTAGGTCGAGAAGTTGCGCGCGAGGCCCGAGGGCGCGGGCGACTGCGCGCGCGGCGGCGGCGGGTAGGCGCCGTCGATGGCGAGCGAGTTGAGGCTCGGGTAGAGCTCCGGCGCCGACGGGAAGGCCTGGGCGTGGCCCAGGGGCGCCGGCGCGCCGTCGTAGCGGCGCCGGTCGTCGCCGCCGTCGCCGCCGTAGCCGCCGCCGCGGCTCATGGCCGAGGGCTGGAGGAGCGCGGGCTCGCGCCGGTCGCCGTAGGCCCGCGCCTGCGGCTCGTCCCAGGAGCCCCCGGGCGGCCGCGGCGGTCGCGCGCCCGGGGGCTCGAGCGCGCGGAGCCGCGCGTCGATGCGCTCGAGCGCGGACGCGGTCCGCGCGGACTCGTCGCGGAGCGCGTGGTCGACGGCGCCGAAGGAGTCCTGGAGCGCCGCGTCGCGCCGCGCGTAGGCCCGGTTGTCCTCGCGGAGGCGCCGCAGCTCGTCGCTGTGGCGCGCGACGACGGCCGTGAGCTCCTGCATCGAGCTGATGAGGAGCTGGATGTTCGCCTGCTCGGCCGTCTTCCGCCGCTCGGCCGTCGCCTCGGGCAGGGGCGCCGTCTGGGGCCGCTCCGGCGCGCCCCAGGCGTAGGCGGCCCGGTCGTCGTCGCCGAGCCGCTCGCCGAGCGTCGCGTAGCTCCGGTTGCTCGCCGAGCCGTCGAACGGCGACCGCCGCGGGTCGTAGTCGCCGCCCTCGTTGCCGTCGCTGTGCGCGAGCTGGCGCTGCAGCGACTCGAGCGTCGGCGTCGACTGCGACCGGTCGAACTCCGGCGGCGCCGCGGCGCGGAAGCCGCCGCCGTCCCAGGTCGGGAAGCCGGGCGGCGGGAGGCCGCCGCCGGACGCCATGGCGCGGTGGTCGCCTGCGGGCGACGAGTCGCAAACTGTGGCGACGCGGAGCAACTGGGAGCCGTTCACCGGGCGGCCATCGGGCTGCGGCGCGAGCTTGGCGCCGGGTTTGCGGGCGAGAAGCTCGCTCGGCGGCTGAGCTCAAGCACGAGTCTGAGACCAAACCCGGCCAGCGGTGCCGCAAAGTTGCACACACGTTAACCGCTGGGGCAGCGCCTGGGAATCGGCCTGGGGCTGCGTGCTCTCCGGGGCCGGGTCGAACCATGGCCTTCGACGAGCACGCGTTCTACAAGAAGTTCACGGAGCTCATGGGCGCCCCGCCCAAGCCCGAGATGCCCATCGCGCCGCGCGAGTACCGCACGTTCCTGAACAAGAAGAGCAACATCCTCCTCGAGGCGGACCCCGAGGCCATCGTGACGGAGGAGAAGCAGGAGATGTGGCGCCTGAAGATCCCCGCGGGCGAGGGCGAGATCCGGTGCCCGACCTGCGGCAACGCGCACAAGAACCCGGCGCTCAAGTCGACGTACCGCGTCTGCCACCACTGCTTCTTCATCCTGGAGCCGACGACGGCGCTGAGCCTCGGCCCGCCGGCCTGGCTCAAGGAGACGTCGAAGCTGCGCATCCTCGCGGCCTCCTACGGCCACCCCGTCGACGCGTCGCGGGCCAACGACTGCACGAAGCAGGTCGCGGCCCTGGTCGACGCGACGAAGAACGAGCGGCTGACGATCCTGAAGACGGACAATCTGGCGCGGCTCCTGGGCGGCGACCCGGCGCGGGGCCACCGCAAGGTGCTCAAGCTGCGCTATTTGTTGGATGGGCGGCGGGGCGAGCTCACGGCCTGGGAGGGCGGCTGGGAGTGCCACCTCGCCGAGGACCTCTACATCATCGGCTCGAAGTCGAAGCCGCTCATCACGGTCGTCCGCGCCATCTACGGCCACCCGCTGGGCGTCATCAAGGGCCGGGGCGCCTTCGACGTGACGGACGTGCTCCAGGCGCGCGTGCACCTCTCGCGCGGGCGCCACGTCGTGCTCAAGCGCCACGAGGACCTCACGCAGCTCTTCGGCGAGCCCTGCGCGGGCCGCGCCAAGAGCCTGACCGTCGAGTACGAGATCATGGGCAAGGCCGGCGAGTTCTACGAGTACGAGCTCGAGGGCCGGCTCCAGAACACGATCTCCATCGAGGCGTCGCCGTCGATCTCGCCGCAGATCATCATCCTCGGCGCGACCTACGGCTGGACGGAGCAGCTTTTAGCGGACCGCAAGAAGGAGACGCACAAGCTCCTCTTCGACCTCCAGGAGATCTCGGAGCGGCGGCGCATGGGCCTGGCCGTGTCCGCGGCGGACAACAAGCGGCTCCGGGAGATGCCCAAGCACGCGCGCGAGCTCAAGCGGCTCAACGACCTCCGCGTCGGCTTCGTCGACGTGCGCGAGCACATCCAGCGGCGCATCGAGCTCGCCGGCGGCGCCGTGCTCTTCTTCGGCGGGTCCACGCCGAACGACGAGCTGCCGTCGTGGGCGCGCGTGACGCTCGCGGGCAAGGAGCACCTCGGCATCGACCTCGGCGCCGTCGACGACCTCAACGCCATCTTCGGCAACCCGACGCCGGGCCAGACGAAGCTCCTGTCCATCGACTACGTCATCGTCGGCCACGACGCGGAGCGCAAGACGGAGGCGTCCGAGTCGACGTCGAGCGGCTACGAGGCCAACTTCATCAACCAGCGCAAGGGCCGGCTCCAGCAGCTCGTCGACGAGGACGACATGGGCCGCGCGTCCTGCGAGGAGAGCGTGCTCCTCGGCATCCCGACGATCCTGCCGTCCATCGAGGTGCGGTACGCGTCCTACGGCCACCCGACGAACCCGAACCAGGTGTGGAACGGGGCAGGAACAGAGTGATTCAAGTTCGCTTCAACATGAGTGTTCCGCGCGCACGCGTTGCAACAAAAGCATCCACGCGTCGAGAGCGCTCCGAGAGATGATCGCTCGTCCAAAAATTAGCCAAAACGAGTGGAAAACGGCCGAGAGAGGAGCCTGTGAAGTTGGAAATTTCACACTCTTTTCCTGCCCAGGTGTGGAACGTGACGTCGGAGATGCGCGCGCTCGCGAACCAGCAGGGCGGCCAGCGCCTCCACATCGACACGACCATGTCGCTCTACGACCTCTTCGGGGACCCCTGCGTCGGCATGCGCAAGAAGCTCACGATCCGCTACTACGTCCGCGGCTTCCACGGCTGCACGACGGTCGAGGAGCGGCCCCAGAACCACCTGTCCACCGACATCGCGCTGGGCTTCGTCACGGAGGGCCACGACCCCTTCGAGCAGGTGAAGCGGCGGACCTACCGCCAGAACGCGGTCGACAAGATCCAGAAGCTGCGCATCCTCGACCACATGAAGGTCGAGCCGTCGCCCTACTCCCACCTCGGGCGGGCCTGGTAAACTGTCTCGGAGAGCGGGCGTCTACGAGGGGCGGCGGCGCGCGCGCGCGCCCTAGTCGAAGGTGTAGCCCTCGTCGGAGCTGCCGAGGTTCTCGACGGCGTCGAACTCGAAGTCGCTCTCCGGGCCCGAGTCCTCGGCGATGGACTCCTCCTCGATGTCGTCCTCGTACTCCTCGTCGTCGTCCTCTGGCCTCTTCTCGGGCTCGGGCTCGGGCTCGGGCTCGGGCTCGGGCTCCGGGGCCCGCGCCCGCGGCGCGAGCGTCTTCTCCTCGAAGAGCTCGACCTTCTCCGGCGACGCGGGCTTCTCGGGCGACGGCGCCCGCGCCAGCTTCGCCGGCGACGCCGCCGGCGACGACTTGGCCGGCGACATGGCCGCCGGAGCCGTCGGACTTGGCCGGCGACGCGGACTTGGCCGGCGACGACGGCGCCGGCGACGCGGACTTGGCCGGCGACGACGGCGCCGGCGACGCGGACTCGGCCGGCGACGCGCCCCGGCCGCTGCCGCCGTCGGACTTGGCCGGCGACGCGGCCTTCTCGGGCGACTTGGCCGGCGACGGCGGGTCGAAGCCGCCGGCCTTGGCCGGCGACGGCGCCTTGGCCGGCGACGGCGGCGCCGGGTCGTCCCAGCCGTCGGAGCCGTCGTCGTCGAGCGGCTCGTCGACGATGTCCTCGACGAGGTCGCCGTCGTCGTCGTCGACGGTGCCGATGGTCTTCGCGGACGCGGGCTCCGGGTCCTCGTCGCGCGCCGGCGCCGCGGGCGGGACGACGGCGAGGACCGGCGGGTCCGGGGCCGCGCGCGGCGGCGCGGGGAGCGGCGCCGGCGCCGCGGCCGCGTCGTCCGGCGCCGGGTGCGTGTTGTCGATGAGCATCTGGATGAGGCGCTTCACCTGCGACACGGAGACCGTGTGCGCGCCGAGGTAGAGGTCGTGCGCCTTGACGAGCTCGTCGTAGACGTCGTCGGCCTTGCTGTCGTCGCGCACCCACTCCAGCGCGATCTCCTTGAGCTCCACGAGCCCCGTCGAGTCCGCGCGGTACTCGAGGGCGAGCGACGGCGGGCGGTACCGCACGCCGAAGCGCAGGGGCGTGATGCGCTTCTCCGGCTCGTCGCTCGCGAGTGATGAAGCCATATTCGAATGGGCTAGCCGAACCAAAAGGCTGCCCGCGGTTTGGCTGCTCCAAGCCATGGGTGCACACACGGTGCCGCGGCACCGTCACCATCGAAGGCTGCCACGCCCCGGGGCCGTCGATGGTCGCGCGCGTCGCCCGACTCGCCTAGCCTCGACGCGCCGGTGGCCGGCGTCGCCGATGGAGATGGGGACCCTGCCCACGGCGTCGCCGCTCCAGACGGGGCAGCCGGTCTACGTCGCGCTCGTGCCCGGCGTGCGCGCCGAGGCCGGCCACTTTGGCGTCATCCAGTCGGGCTGGACGACGGCCGACGCCCAGGAGATCCACGAGCTGTCCCGCCAGGTGCTCCAGCTCGCCATGGTCAACTGCGTCGTCGCCGTGACCTTCCGCGTCGTCGCGCTCGTCCTCATGGCGCTGCAGGGCCGCGTCACGTACGTCGTCGAGTACGCGTCGCCCGCCGCGCCAGCGAAACCTTCCGACCGCGACGCGGTGTCCCGAGCGCCGCGACGGCGCGTCCGCGCGCAGGTTCTGGATCGTCTTCGCCTTCGTCGTGCTCTTCCTGGGCGTCCAGGGCGTGAAGCTCCGGAACCCGCCGCTCGTCGAGTGCTGCGCGTGCGGCCACCTGACGGCCTTCTACTCCATCTACATCGTCTTCAGCGTCCTCGCGGGCATCTCCGTGCTCTTCTGCGTGGTCACGGGCCTCTGGGGCTACTTCGTCGTCAACGCGCTCTTCCTCGCGCTCTACAGCGTGACCGCGGACAAGTCGCGGCGGCTCCTCGACGCGCTCGAGCGCTCCGGCACGGACAGCGCCGCGAACGCGCTCGCCGCGGGCCGCGCGGGCTACGCGGGCGCGGCGCGGCGCGTGCCGGAGC